TCTTAAGGTATATAGAGATTCCGATCATACATCCAAACCGGAGACCAAAACCAGAAAGTGACCATACCACGACGACCAGGACGACGAGACGAAGAGATCGCCATCGAGATCACCGCCGGAAGTCGCCGCATGCGCCGTCACGCGCCGCCGGAAGGTACCAGTGGCTGAGGCTTACTCGCGCGTGTGAGAGCGCGTGGAAGGTCCGATTTCAGATCAGTCAACGCCGTTGACTTCGCCGTGACGTCAGCTTTCCGGATTGGTCAAGTTTGTTCGATTCCGAGTAGATTTGATTTGCGGTCATCTGTCCGGGCCAGCCAGATCTACATAAATTTTAAGCAGTAAGTTTTCTTCATCAAACCTTTAGATCCGCTGCATAGGTTTATGTTGAATGTTTGTCCGTGATTTGTGCATATCGAGATCCTCGTGGGTTCCAACAATTGGTATCAGAGCATGAGGTTAATTCGTTATGTACAAGATCCGGATTAAACTGCTTAATTGTCTATGTGTGCTCAAGCGCAGCAATATATATTGGATTATATGCATAAATTGGTTTTGCAGGAAGTAGTTAATCCACTATTATGGCCACCCTTTTATGTGCTCAAAAAATCTATAGAGCCATCAGATGGCTCCTTTATGGAGCCATCCATAACTTTATGTGTTGATACATGTTGAATGTATATTTATTACATGACACGTGTCAATACACAAAGTTGAATAACTATGGATGACTCTATAAGCCGAGACATCTAATGGCTCCACAACAAAATCGTATCTATTGAATACACAAGTATTCATTCTATGTGAATTGACTGTTATGCATACCAAGGTCCAACCTTAGTAAGAGAGATCCAATATATCGACACGCACGCAGGAAGAATCCTTCTTATAGTAAACAGTAAATCCCTCTTCCTCTCTTTGTTCAAAAGATGGACACTTGAATGGGAAATGAAAAGTTCATTGAATGGGTTAAATGATTCATTGGTTGCAAAGTGGTTGAAAATGTTGGATCAAGATTTAATTTACTAATATTTTAATATATATATATATATATATATATATANATCTCTCTTATATCTTATATGAATAAGTTAGGGTGCTTTAAAAGTCGACACGTGTCCCATTTAGTGCCCTTAAGAAGTTGACACGTGTCCTTCTTAATTTACCTCATTGCCACTTTTTGAAATGACTAAATTGCCCCTTAGATGACTATACTTTGTCTTTAAAGGGGGTGTCATCGTAACTTTACATTTGGTTTACTTTTACTGTTGAAGACTACTCTTGCACTCAACTATCAAGTCAGTCAAAGACCAAATTGAATACAATTGTTTGTGGAAAAGCAAAACTTCTCCCACACGCACATTTTCTTCATTTTCTCTCATTTTCTTAACACAAATGAGATAACCCACGCAAGCTCCCAGCGCCGACGATCGCGTGGTGGCTAGAAGCAAAGTGTCGACATGGCTAAACGGCTCGGCTGGAGAAGATTAAAGCAATGATCGAGGACGGTGTGTGGGTGCAGAGGAATCGGCGGAGTCTAGGGCCGTGGCGAAGGGACTCCAGTTGAAGAGCTTGAAGGCGCACGGTTCTATTGCGTGAAGAGAATCAACTTAGCCACACCGAGGGCAAGGAGCTCCGCCGTCAACTGCCGCATTTACCTGATTCAGGGTCGCCGCCGTCTTAATGGGTAATTGTTGCGTCATTAAAATATTGGTTTCTTTGTATTTGCCTCTTTTCCTGTTGTGCTTACGACTGTGTGTGTGGGTGTGTGTGTGTTTGTCTTTGTGTGTCTTTGTGTGTATGTCTGTGTTTTAGGTGTGGAGCTACCTGGATTTTGTATATCCTAGAAAGCCCTGATTTGTGCTTTTTTCTACAATTGAGTTGTTTGGTTGCATTTGTTAAAAAATCTGTTAATCTTTTTACTTTTTATTAAATGTATAAGATAAAGGGAAAGAATAAGCCAAATCTATTTTCTTCTGATAGCAATGGCCATGTGCCAAACAATGGGCACAAATCTTACGTGTTGAACAATCCAACCAGGCATAACATCGAGGAATTTTACAAGCTCGGGCGTGAGCTCGGCCGAGGTGAGTTTAGGGTAACATATTTGTGTATGGATAAAACCAGTAGTGAGTTATTTGCCTGTAAGTCGATATCAAAAAAGAAGCTTAGGACTAGAGTTGATATTGAGGACGTTAGACGAGAGGTTGAGATCATGAAGCATTTGCCTAAACACCCGAATATCGTGAAATTGAAGGATATACGAAGATGATCATGCTGTTCATTTGGTTATGGAGTTGTGTGAGGGTGGTGAGTTGTTGATAGGATTGTGGCAAGAGGGCATTATACCGAGAGGGCTGCTGCTGTGACTCGA